TTATGATCTCCTAACGAAAAGCAATATAGATATTTAGCCGACATAAAAAAGGGGAATTCTTGATTCTCAAATCTGTTTTAGTTATATGCGCGTAAGAGTATGTATGGGTACAAATTGTTTATCGGCAACCGATTTTTTTCTTTTGATAATGTTTAATTTTTATATTGATCCAAAATAGCAATTTTTTTATGAAAAGGACTGCCTATTACAGCATTTTTTCTTTTATTTAATTATTTCTCCTCGAAGTGAATGAAATATTAACAAAATTAAATAAATATTAACTAAGAATAAAGAATGTAAAATCATTCTTATAAAATACTTATTCAATGGTAAAATTATATATAAGTAATAAATCATTTGGCTTTATTAAAATAAGTATATTGAATTAGCAAACTAACATTTATTATTCAAAACAACTCTAAAACATGATTCCAATTTATTTAACTCGAAAGTTAAATGCAAACTTAATTAAAATAACTTTTAAACGACAATCAATTTCAAAGAGCCAATATGTTCAAAATCGTAAAATTCATTCAAGTGTAAAATATGGATTATCATTAAAAACTGAGCTTCCATTTAACTTGGAACGAGTAAAAACTTATTAAAATAACCATTGTGAATTCTTATTTTTAATTTTATTTATATTTTACGGTTCACTAATTGCGAGTTATCCAACCAGTCGTTAAGGATATTCGTTCTGAATGAAATTATAGTATCCGATGTATATCATTTCTTTATCCATCTGTTGTATGTACTTCAGAAATAATTCAGTTTATATTTATCCAAAGTTAGTTGTTTTGATAAAAAAATGATAAAAGTTTTTGATTCTTATTTTTTCTTTATATTTAATGATATTATAATTCTTTCTTTCAACTTTATAAATTAATAATTATGAAAATAAATATAATAGATTATCTGTGATAAAGTATTCATGTTGTTTTTTTTTTAATCTGTAAAAATATAAATAAACATTGTATATAATATGTATTTAATCTATAACTAACAAATTGTCATAATGACAGCTGTCATTGCACATGCATCTTGATAGGGATGTGCCCCCATTCCGTTCACACCTCAAGGTTGGGGGCAACGTATCATAATTAGATGAGGGACCTCACACAATATATAGCTGGCTACTTGATTATACAGTTGGCTGGTAAATAATACTTATAATGATCTTGTATGTGATGCCATTGAAGATAATTTATAGCTAGTTTTATATTAAAACTACAAACAGATATAGATGCAATTTAAAATTAGGATGTAGGTTCGATTTTTGTTTTTATTTAATTTCTTTACCTATTTTTGTCAGTTGGATAAAGGTCAATAATTAGATATATTAAAATACTGATTACAATTTAATATTTTGCAAACATTTATTTAACTTGCAATACATGTAATGCCTTTATGTTCGGGTTAAAATCATGCGAGTTGTTTTTAAAGTGGTTTTCCTTAACTGAGCGATGTGAAATTTTAAATAAATATTGTTGAATTTGCATGATAGTATTATTTTAATACCGTTATGCCGAACGGTCAATCATTGCAGCTTAATAATCTTTAGTGTAATTTTAAATTGGACAAAAAAAATCTGTTAAATATTCAAATTCTATAACTAGGTATTGTCTAATAAGATGTTTTTATTTGTTAATATCAATTTATAAATATATTTCTATAGTTGACAATTATAATTAAATCTTTATAACATAATATACAGGAATTATTGTATATAAAATAGAAATGTTCCTAGTAATAAAAATGTTTTAGCATCCACACATGCAAATGAAAAACTTCGATTTTAAGAGGCTTTAATGTATTTTAAATGCTGCTTTTACTTAGATAAGGCGTTATCGGTATCGTCGCGGTTGCGCAAAGAAGCTTTATATGCGAAGGCTTTATAGGGAAAAAGCCTTTTGATACAAAACTCAATAAAGTTTTAATACATTATTTTATTTGTTTTAAAAACTTTATAGATTTCCACTTAATTTATTGACATTATTTTTTAAAATGGTATCCTATTTTTTGCTTGCTTGGTTTAAAAATAAAATATTACTAATTTAAATGACAGAACGCAGTTAAATTTCGTCTAGTGTAATTATAAACAAGTCATTAATTCATTAAAGTAATTCATAAGTATATTGTACATAATGGTCAAAACGTTATATACTTTAAGAACTTAAATGAAATTAATATTTTTTTATACAGAACGCGCCTTATTTTTGATAAAAACTACATATTCTGACATTCACATCTCGTCTGCCCGTGATCACTGTTGCTGAAATGTATCTGAAACGTCGGGAGTAAGTAGTTTTTATGAAAAATAAAGTCGCTCAATGTATACGAAAAATATAAGTTTCATTTAAATGAATAAAAGCTCGCGAAAATCTTAGATCTCATTATACTTTAAGAATACCACAAGTAATTGCTCGTGCACTTTAAAGTATTCTAATAAATACTTAAAATTTCCAACGATCCAACATGTAGGCGTCTGAGACAACACGTTTTTGTCTCTGTACTGGAATAGTAGCGTAATGGAGTTTCCTCGTAGCTACAGCGCCATCAGCCATTTTATCAACGGTTCTAAACACTTAGAAACTTCAATGTTTTGTGAAATATCTTAGAGGAATATAATGCTCACGTATTTTGTATGTATTTTTATATACTTATAAATTCCATAGTTTATAATAAAATATATATCTTTGATTTTTCTTGACATATTTTTGTTAATATTTACAAATTCATCACATTTTTTTTTCTTGTGTTGAATTGATTGAGATTGAACATTATGTTCACCTTTATAGGATAACGTTTATAAATATGTTGTATAAGAAAAACTGATGTATGTATAACTATTTATTTTTAATAACAATTGGTTATGACTTTTATATTTCATATATAAATGTTTGAATATTTATGTTTATTACTTTTAAAACTTTATAACTATAATATCTTGGCAACATGTACATATTATATATTATTTATTTCACATCATTAAAAAGAACATAAAATATGTTATTCCTATATTAAATTTGAAGTATAGGCTGTACAGTGCGAACGTTAACGGTGTATGTACATGTTATAATTTAAAGCATAATAAAGTTTAATTTAATTTATTTATGTACCAGGAGTACAGAGAAGGTAAGGAGTCATATATTTTTTATATCAGAAAGAATATTTCAAATGAATTTAACTGCCTATTTCATGCCACCTTCCGATGCAAAGCTTGGCATGTCCAGAAAATATCACTAGGGATCTTTACAGCTTACATTGCGTGCTTTGAAGCAATTAAATAGCTCTAAATAAATATTGACACAGTAATTTAGTTACTACAAGCTCCTTCCAAACAATGTTGATAAATGTAGTCCGCTTATTTTAGTAAAGTAGTAAATAAATATACATATATTTAGCAACTTATTACGTTTTTTACACGAGTGTTGCAGATAAAAATATTTCTTTGAGTTCGCTTGCTTATTTTAAGTTGTTCACATAAAGTATATAGTTCTTTACTTTTGTGGATTATAATACTTATATTCGTAAATAATATTTTGAGTATAACTGATCTCGTTGCACACGTAGCATTTTCCAGTGATAAGTATGCACTGTTGTCAGGGGCAACACATTGTATAATGCGTTCAGTTCGGTAGAAATAACTGTTATCTTTGTAAAATATTATTCTTTGTAATCCCAGTATTAAAAAATAAAATTTTACAAGTCACACAGCAAATAGTCAGTGAATTTTCCATGGTTATAATTAAAAATTCCTATTGCTATGATAAGCTCATGACATAAATATATATGTATATATAATTTGGTATATATTAAAATTAAATAATGTCCAAGTTGATTATAAAAACTAATAGAAAATAACTTCTTAGATCAGGTATTTTTATGGTTTAGTTTTGTTGATTAAATATACATATACGTTTATTATAAATATGTATTAAAATAATTACATCGTTTTCTGCATTATGGTTCATTTCGTATCGTAATGATATTAATATATTTGAAAAACTATTTCAATACCAAAACTTTTTTAATGTTTCGTTCGCATGTACTTAATATTTGATATACCTCTACGTCTTTTACGTTTATTTAAGCTTTGTTTTTTGTATTTGTTTAAGATTTTAGGAATATTTTTTTATGATTCTTATCTATTGTATTTATAATCTGATATCTTTATTTTTATTACATCTATTTATAATTTTACGTTCTGATTATTATTATAGGGAATTTGCGTTTTATAAATTGTAAATAATATTAATGTACTTTTTTGGTTTTTTTTATTGATACTGATGAAATGATGTGTTCAAAAACGTTTTTAATTCTGTTATGTGCAGAATGTCTTAAATATTTTAAATAACAATATTTTTTGAGTATTCTGCTTATTTTCCTCGCGTAGATACCTACTACATATTTTAATATTATTACTTATAGAACGACCATCTCTCAAAAATATAATTTAGTAGCTAAGGTTGGACTATAAACTTCTGCCCCTTACTTTTACGTATTTTTCTTGAGCTTAATGCGATGATATCTTCCTATATTATTAATATCAGCAAAGTCTTCATCACTAACAGTTGTAGAACAAATACAATTTTTACAAGACCTTTTCGTTTATAGTAATTTCTTTCACACAATCTTTTTGTACTTTATTATTGTACTTCTGTTTTTACGTGTATAATATGATTCTATTAAAACAACTTATAACTTTTCAAGATGTGGTGGAAAATTTATAATGAGTTTTAATACAAATTTTAAAATTAAATGTGACAGTTGTCAATAAAGAAAATTTCGCGGGAATTTGCGGCTTGTGTGTACAAACAGAAATCTAACTGTGAAAACATATTGATTACAGAGCATATGAGCTGCCTTTCTTCAATTTGATGATACAAAAATGATAACATTAAAGTCTTCCATATAACGAACTGAAATGCAAATAATCGCGAATAAATTTAATGATATTTGAAGTCTCAGAAGTTAAAGCATTATTATTTTTATTACAGCGTCATCCCAGGCTGCTCGCGACGCTTCCTGTCCTCGGATATGCGGCCCGGCGCTTCAAGGCGAGCCGGTGTGTGCCACCGATGGTGTTATATACCCATCACTGTGTGAAATGCGGAAAAAGACTTGTGGAAAGGGTATGCTTCACTATATTTATACTAACAGAGTCATAAACTCGGAACTCTTTGCGTCTATGAATCAGTTAATGCGTAAAATTATAAGTAATTATATTTTGGAGATGAGGAGGTATTGTGGAAATAATAAAAGAGTTGTCATTATACTTGCCTGTATATTGTTTTAGTGTATTTTATCAAAAGATAAGTTTTTGGCATATAGAAATTGAAAAAAGCGTTACTTATATTTTGGAGAAAGACAAAATAGATAGATGTATTGAGTTTTTGATATATTTTTAATATTAACTGATGTGTAACTTTTTCAGGGGATATAAATTCAAAATTTAATAACAATACCGTAAAATCTTATGTATATGTGAAAGTTCTTAAACATTTTATAATCTTATTTAAGATGAATGCTTACAACTTGGAATATAACTTAAACATTTACCTCATCTCGATTTTATCATATGATTTAAGCTACTTTTCAGATATTCCGCGTGGGTGATTGTTGTGAGTGGAATTTATTGATCTTATCGCGTTTACTGCGGCGTATCTGGTAGATTCATTGAAATAAAATAATAAAGCATTATGCGTTTATAGTTGCGAGGCTTTACCATAGATTACCAAGCTCTGATAAAAGTGATGTACATAGAATAAGTAAAGAGGTTAAATTCATAATTAAAGTGTTTACAAAATCCCCAAGAAGAGTTCCTGGCAATGCGTATGCGTATGCGTATGGCTAAAGCCATTATCAAAACTGAAGCAATTTTGTTATTTTTTCCAGGTGTAAAGCTGGCCCCGGACCAGAGTGTATGCTCCCGAGCTCAAGGCAGCAAGTGCGAGAATCGTTGCACAACAGAACGAGACCCTGTCTGCGGTACCAACGGACGGACCTATCTGAATAGATGCATGCTCCAAGTTGAGATTTGCAGGTAAATAATAACTAACAGAACAAAAACTTCAGTTTTAAAATCTTAGGCGGGAGAACAATTGAAAATTCTTTGAGAGGATATAAAGATTCTTACGATGTGAATAATTGTGATTCTGATAACTTTTCACATGGCTGCGTTGCTTATTAAAGCCATATCATTGTATTTTCTTCTATTTAACCATCATGTTTTATTTATTACATATTGCTAATGTCTTGAAATTTATGCACAACAGGGATTTGTTTTACATTCAATTGTTTTTTCAGAAAAGGCATCGGTCTTTCCCATTTGGGAGCGTGTAACAATATCAGTGCTCATCGTGAGAACTGTCCCGTGGATTGCTCTCAAGCTCCTTTGGATGGACCCGTCTGTGGTTCTGATGGCAACGTCTATAAGAGCACCTGTCAGATGAAGCTCTTAACATGCGGGTAAATTTATTTGCACTTTTTATCAATAAAAATATAATTCAGACCATCTAGTGGAATTTAAACTTCAATCGTAATCATTAGACGGTTTTTTTTATTTAAATGAAACAAATATTTTTTGGATATAGTACGGAATTTTATTTTTGATAAAAACTACATACTCCCGACGTTTTGGTTACTTTTCATCAAACGTGATCACAGGCAGACGAGATGTGAATGTGACATTGGGAAAATGAATAAAACTCGCGAAAATCTTAGATCTCATTAAAATAAAAGATATATATTTTTTGCAAGTTAAGTTATTTAAAGTTTCTTAATTTCAGACAAGGTGTAGTTAAAACGAGCAAGAAGCATTGTCAGACGACCCGTCACTGCAGAGAGTCTTGTTGGCGTTCCTCACGACCTACATGTGGTTCTGATGGAAAACTTTACGCTAACGCTTGTAGGATGAAGGCTACAAACTGTGGGTGAGTATTCCATTTAAGAAAGATAGAATTATTGAGGTTTGTCTTTATAAGATATTAAAAGAATAAAAGGTTTTTGTTCTTATAAAAATATTTCAGTTAGATTCAGAATTTTTCTGTACCATACTGACAAGTTCCAGCATTTCATTTATTATCTGTTACACTTTAGCAGAACATTCATGCAAATGTCTGTATACATTTCAGTAAGCACGTATTCGAAGTGCCGATGTCTTTCTGCGTGTCACAAGAGAGGACGTCCGGTGCTGACGCCTGTCCCACAGACTGCTCTGGACAACCGGAAAAGTTGGTATGCGGCGCCGATGAGAACGTGTATAGGAACGAGTGTGAAATGAAGATGCTTAACTGCGGGTTAGTTATACCACAGAAAATGATTTACAAATTTAAACAGAAAGAGAAAAAATTGAACCAAAATAAATAGGGTCTAATTTATTTATTCAATACGATATAACAATTAAGGATTTAGATAATTTCGTTCCGACGATGGTTTAAGTACAAATGTTCTCACACGTACACGATTAATTTAGTCGATACTATAATATATTTCTTAAAGTTTATGGTTTTATTTAGAAAGACTTTACAGCATATTCCTAGACGATAGTCTAATTGTGATATAAATTTAAATGATATACGCTATTTATTCAGAAAATCCTAAACAAGGAGGAAAAACTGTGCTAGTATATTACGATATGAGTCCAATTTTATTATTTTTTATCCTAATCTTTATATATTTAATTCTATTCTATTCTTTGCAGCATCAGCAACAGAAAAGTAATTAAGAAGGTGGATATGGAGAAATGCAAATCTAAAATGAGCAAATGTATGAAAGTAAAGTGTCCTACCGAAGAAGACCCGGTCTGTGGAACCGACGCAACTGTTTATAAAAATCCTTGCGCTTTGAAAGTTGCCACCTGTCTGTGAGTATTTAGTTTCCTTAACAAATTAATTCAAGTAAATCTCTTAGATTTAACTTGTCTCTTAATAGTTTTGATTCATTTCATTTAATCTTATATTTTACCGTATTACTCAGCATTAATTCCAAAATATTGTCTTAAATACTATGTAAGTATATAATATTGATGAAATTTTCTTATTGTTTTGTATATTTATAGTAAAGGGGTGCAACTAGCTCACTTCGGCAACTGTACTGTTCTGCCGCGAATGGAGACCGATTGTCCTGACAACTGCGATAATGCTCTCGAGCAACCAGTCTGTGGTTCCGATGGAAATGTTTACAAGTATGTTATATTCTATCTTTTATATAGCTTCAATATTCTTTTCCACTTTTTGCAATTATCTACTCAAAAATTATTATTGGTAGTACGCTTCTTCTCACGTTTTATTTTAAATATGTATAAAATTAATCAGTTTGTTTTTTGTTTTATTCTATTATATTATTAACTTTAACTAATTTTGCTTATTATAAATTTAAAGACAACTTATGATAGAATTGTTTCAATATTTTTAAACTTACCATTAGATGAATTAAATAAATGTAAATGATGAGATGTGTAAGAGATTATATTAATAACCAACAGGTCTGAGTGTGAGCTTCGTAAGCTCACCTGTGGACAGCACGTGGTTTCGGTCTCAGAGTCCCATTGCCGTACAACTGCGCTATGTCACGAGCGGTGCCCCGACACGCCTGCCTTTGTTTGCGGTTCGGACAATCGCTTCTATAAGAATGAATGCGTTATGAAAAAAGAAAATTGCGGGTAAGTTTATTTTCATTTTTTCTTAATGCTTAGGGACTGGAACTATATTAAACATTGGATATGTTCTATATTCTAAAAATTATATATGTTGGTTTTGAGAGATTCAGTTTAATTGTTAATTAATAATCTTTTTTTTCTCAGGAAACACATATATGTAGTACCGTTGAAGCGTTGTCTATCTCGCTTCCAATACTCTGGCTGTGCTCGTGTCTGCCCTCCCGAATACGATCCGGTCTGTGGCACCGACGATAAGACTTACTCAAATAATTGCTTCCTCGAAATGGAAAACTGCAGATCAAGGTAAGACACATTGTTTCGGAAGTAAAATACTTTATATTTTGTAGACTAAATTGTTAGTAATTATATAATTTTTTTTTTGTTTCAGAAGTCTTGTTCAATTCAAACATTTGGGAACATGCACTGAACCCATCGCAGAAGAACCGAAAAATTATCTCTACCGATAAATAATAACGCTAGTTTATAATTAGTTAAAGTTATATCAGCTTTTTAAAACATATCGATGCATTTAAGACGTGTGTCCACTTTAAATTAGTGCCAACGTTAAACATAAGCTAAATTTATTAGAGACCAATAATTCGTCTTCCATTTTGGATTCATTTTAAGTACAAAAAACTTTATGGCGTCTGTCAACATTCTACGGTAGTGCATTGATTGAGATCGAAAGTAGCTATATATATCCTTACGTTAGTTGTATTTAATATTTTCTAGTAAATAGTCGACAATAAACTTTTGTCATGACTTATTTGATTACGATAACCTTGCATTGATCACATGAGGACAGAAAGATAATTTTATTTTTAGCATTAGGTATATATAAATAAGATTATTTCTAAGTTATGACTGTTTATTTATTTGTCTATTTATTCTTAATAGATAATTATTTATGTGTAAATAAAAATAATGATTTACATTCCGCCGTTTTGTTATAAAAACATAAATGGTGAACGAATCGCTCAAAAGGAAATTGCATTTAAATTTATTTTTTATTAGTGGATTTATTCAATAATAAAATAATGCTACTTATTTATTATTTTATTCATAAAATACTTTTACTCGAATACTTTAGTCTTAATGTTAATTACAATGTAAGGATGTACCTAAACTATCATATTGGAATTAATTCTTATCAATTTATACATAAGTATCCAGTGATTTTTAGTATTTCCTTAATCACAGACTTTGTGTCATTACAATATTACTCCATGTATACGCTAAATGAACGAACGATAAATAAAAGAAATCAATAATTTTGGTGTTTTCATTTATTTCCATATAAAGTTTTAGCAATAACACTATTTGTTAGAATAAAGTATGACCTATAATTTTCTCGAGTACACATTTAAATAAAAGAAAAAATCAGATACTTTTTATTTACGTTTTTACTCTTTATTATATACACCTTTAATATTTTTGTATTTCTAATGGTCCAAACGTTTTATTGAATGGTACTCCTAATCAGTCTAAACAATGGGCCCAGTTTTTGGGAAGTTTATATATTAAATTGATGGAAAACTTCATAAAGAAGTTTCTTATACTATCTCATAACATATAATATGTTTCATACCTATATATAATAATGGATTTTTTGATACAAAAATACACATACAAGATAAATTGAACTGTGTTTTTCGAATATACCTACTTAGCAATTTTATACATTATATTCATTTTAGGTGACGTCTCGTTTGTTTTACAAGTTAATCAACATTTGCCTTTCTTAATCACCTCAATGCTATTAATATTAGGATTAAGTGATGTTTGGAATAATTGGCAAATAATACGTTACCTTTTCTTAAGATACTTGCCATTTAAAAGTCTGACAATACTCTGGGTTAAGCTATTCACAGAAATCTCCATAAACCGATAGCTATCTTAATATGAAATCACAACACCACCCTGCCCAGTCAACTAACGTTTTTATTGTAGAGGTTTTAACACTTTTCTGTTGCGGATAATTTGGAGACTGAGCTATTGTATGTAAAGCATACAGCTCTTTCTATCAACGAACAACAATAGCACCGTAAGAATAATTTCTACAGATTGTGTTAGTAACAATCAGAATAGACAAGAAGAAACCCCTCTAAGTTATACATCAACCACTTAAAAAAGTACGCCAATTCTTCATACCAATTAAGAGTATAAATAAAAAGAATAAATATGATTAAAACATTTAAATCATGATTTTATTATTTCAAGTTCTAAAAATCTTTTACTTCATCCTTTCGGTAAGTCGTGCTAGTTCTTCCTGAGCATTTTGACTATCACGCTGACACCTGAAACGGAATGAATTTCTTTATTACATTTATTGAAATAAAAACTATTAAAAAATGTGATATAAACACAAATTAATGTGATAAAGTACATTTATTTCTACAGTACTATTACCACTTGGTGATTTCAAACAATGTTATCGCAAGATTTAAGTGCTTATGTCTATTCAATTTTACGTACATAGAGAACTATAAACAAGTTTTTATTATCTATTCGTTAGTCTTCCTATTACATTTTTGTATTCATTGGTTTAAAATAGATAAAAAGATTCTGTTGGGATTCGAACTGAACTATCAAGAAGTTGAAGACCAAAGTAGAAAATACCTTTTATTTCATTATTGGAATATAATAGGTACTTTTTAAAATTGCACAAGCAACGATTTTTACACTTGTTCTAACAACAAATTGTTATTTTCAGATGTTAATAAGTCACCTCAGTGAAGCTGCTAACTATCATATGGGATTTAATTTATTAAAATTTTACATTTTTTATAATTTTTGTTCAAACCTTTCTACCAGTTCAATTGGGAATCCACAGGGTTCGAAGTAAATGGACATCTCTTCCACTAATTTATGGAAATTCTCGACGAATTTAGAAAATGTTGCTAGGTCCAGAGCATTGTTGATTTTGAGAATCATTACTACAAGTTAAAAAATGATATTACGATATATTTAAGGCCTTATTTATATATATTATTTTATATACAATATCTGCAAAAAAACTTTACACAGAAAAATATCAATTTCATATCCTTAGGAGCATTTATACTGATCCAAGATTATTAATAAGTTTTGGTAAATGAACACATTAAATTCTACTGGAATTAAAATGTGTTTATAATAAGACTTTAAGCCAGGAAGTGATAAGTTAGTTTCACGTCAATGAAGTCACATTGCAAAAAATTATATGAAGGTAATGCTCACCAACTATGAATATATATGTAAAAAGCCATAACCATGCCATCAAATACCTATATGTTTTAAAGTCACTAGAAATATTGAAACATTTTTGTGTAATATCAATTCAGTCACTCCATTGTAAAAATATTGAAACTACAAAAATAAAACAGCTTCAAAACAAAACGTGGGTTTCTTTTATGTTCAAGGTGGTGAAATATGTTTTTTGTTGTTACAAACATGTATAATTCCACTGTTTATTTATAATTTGGTACAATATTTGACTTTGTTATTGTGCAGACGTCAAAACTCTTTCGTTTAAAAATGATATGTCCAAAAAGGTTAAAAATGGAGTATAGGTACATATTTCACTTTTTTATTAAAATTAAAAAATATGAATTATTACAGTATTTTTATAGCAGGTCCACAGCTATTTTAGTTAAAAACACCATTGAATGTAAAAGAAAACAAAAAAAATATTTATAGAACAGTGTATTTTTGGTGACCATATAAATTAAAATTATGATTTTTTAAACTAGTCCATATCAATCGGTATTGCATTTTCACCACTATCAGCACTTTCCAAACGTTCATTTTCATTTAAAATTCCATTGATCCAGGCACGGCTAAGGGAGACCTGTCACGATTTATACAGATAATGGTATTAAAGAAGAAATCACTCTATTTCCTTAAATTAAAGTTGTTAATACCTTGGCATAGACGCCGGGTTTGTGTTTGTTAGCACATTCCTCAGTACCAGAAAACAACGCTATCCCAAAGAGCGTGCCTGCCCTATTGACACCACTGAAATGTACCGCGGGATCGCCTGTATCACCCTGAAATTGGATATTTCAGAATAATCTTGACTTAAAAATTCTAAAATCTGATAAGGGACTTTTTTTAAAAGTCCAAGTAATCTTATTTTTTCTTTCAGTATCATCTTATTTTCATAGAACTGTAAACTTAAAAAGTACAGCTAGATACATTCACTAGTCCTATACCAAAGTTATATTTTATACCTATGAGATAGTCGTAATAGTAAATTGTTACCGCACACAAAGCTACTCCTTTGACAACACTTTCCAAGCACATGTGATCGTGCTGTATGTGATAATCATTGCCATACACAACACGACAATCCGACCGCGGAACTTGCTTAACTATCATGCGACGAAGTTCTTGATTCACTCCTTCCCTTATTTGACCTGTCACCTACATAACGTTATATTATTGTTAATGCCTTTATTTTTTATTAATTATTAATATTAGGTAAAGATATTACCACAGATCCATATCCAGTGACAACAACCTCTCCAAACATTGCTGGAATTTCAGCATCAGTCGTTGCAAGGGACACCGTTTGAATCCTACTACTCACTTCTATTTTGATGTTTATCTATAAACCAACGGTTTATTAATAATACATTTTGAGACACGAAATCTATCGAAATATTTGAGATCTAAGACTATCTCGAGTTTTATTTATTTGAATATCTAAATATTTTTAAAGCGACGAGTCACAAAGTCCTTTCGACGCTGTTAACAACTAAACAGTTCTTGTTAAAAAAATCAGGAACTTTCTTAGCATATAAATACCTTAATTAAAGCCAAATTATGTTCGGGATAATATTGATCCATCTTATACTCTGGATGTCGTTGGATATCAATAACTGATACCATTTTACCGCCAAAGTCTCTAAACACCGACCCCATGCGAACAGTTACTTCTTCTATAGTGACACTGGAAACATAATCACACATAATAAACATACATCATGGAATAAAATCTTTGAATTTCTTATGAATTTTGATCTTCCATAGAACGGATTTAAAAAACCTAATTGTTTAATGTTATTACGACTATCAAAAAAGTCTTACTATTTCGTTATCAAAATCCTTTCAGTAGTTAAGATTAGTAACAAATTGCGAAATACACAAAAGATTTTCTTGTATAGGCAAACCAGAGGTATTCAAGTTAGACAAAAATATTATTGAATAAAGGTAGTCATATCAAGAGATACAATCCACACTAAAGACGCACATTTTGTAAAAGGTAAGTTTTTATGTTACTCATATGCCCCCTTTCATCTTAAAAGTTAATAATGTTCGATTTAATGAATCGGAGACGAAGGAAATTATTTGGATTACTTACTATAAATTGAAAGTGATAAATCTTTGTTGGAATCCTTATTTTAAGTTTGTTTTTCGTATTAAAAGCGCAATTGGTATTAATCATCAGCAACTATATAAAGATGTTAATATGTTCGACACAGTGTGAAGCAATGTAATTTAAAAACACTTTTTAAGCGCACGAAACAGCTTAATAGTCATAGCTTTTTAATAGTGATATGTGTGGAATAATTTAAATTTCTTAGTATATATACGTACTAGTCAAAACATTGAGCAGCCGTGAGTATCCATTGAAGACCAACTATAGCGCCGCCGCACCAATGCTTGCCATGCAATCTTAAAAGACAGATTTTTAAAATAAACATATATCTTAGTAAAAACGAAAGGGGTTTTGGAATGAAATTAAACAAGCCGTGTGTGAGGTTTTACCAAAAATATTTTGTTCTTGAAAAGGTCCATACGTCTAAGTCTTTAGAAATTCTAGAGTGATACAATTTTATCAAAAAAATATTCTCAATAAAATCCTACAAACTATGTAAATGAAGGAAATAATAATTGTATTGTTACTCACCGTATAGACACAGTGTAAGGGTAATCTTCTAAGCAAACAAGTCCTGACTCTGTTGTTAACCTTTTCCTTCTTATATGAGTAAAATCTTCTTCTTGCTTTGGTGGAAATTCACATTCTAATTCTGACTTAGCTGTAGTCGCTAAAACATCCAATAAATATGACGATTAGCCAAAAAAAATATTTCGGAGAATATTTTTAATACGAAAAAAAATCCTACCGCTTAAAATATAACTATTATTAAAATGTAAGTAAATAAAAAACGAAGAGAAAATTAAAATATTTCGAGAACCCATTTCTTATCCATCTTAAATTTTCAAATGAACTGAAACTTCCGCTTAATTATTAATTATCGCTAGTTTTGAGAACTGCATGAAAACAATAATTGTTAGCTGCAAATTAACAAACACGAATTACAATGGCGCAACTGTTAAACAAAGCGAAAATTTTGTAACTTTGTTTACAGTTGTATAATAAGTAACAATAACTGCTTAGGTAAATAAGATTTAATAATATTCTGACCTCTGGTGCATTAAACATCCATATTGTGGAATTCTAATAATGACAGTACTGGCCAAAAGAGTTAAAGACCTTTCAATAGTTCTAGAAATGGACAAAAAAGTATCAATTAAGTTTTTTTTTTCTAGAAATCAGATCGATTGTTCAATTCAACTACGATCATTACAATTGTTTGCAAGTGATGTCTTTTATTTTCATAAATGAATTGAAAAGAATTTTTTCTTTTTTTCTATGGCCCTTCTTTATTTAACACCTGTTTCTGAAATTTATTGTTTATATGAACTAGGTCGCCTTAAAAGCTTAATTTAACCTTAAAAGTGTAAAGATAGGCAGAAAAATATATGAGTTAAAATGATTATTTAACATATATTCTTAGAAGTTTTAGTAAAATTTTAATAATGTTTTCATTAAGTATCAAAGTAATTGCTCTAGTCATTCTTGTAAATATCGAGATGTTAAAAACAGAAGATTATGAAGATATTCCAGAAGAGAGTAACATAAGCACGTCAGTAGACTCAGAGAGTAATGAAGTATTTAATTCTAGTAGCAGAGAAAAACCACGGAGATTAATTATGTATCAAGATACTAATAATACACATGAAGTCGGTTCGTATATGAAAAAATATTAAAATTCTTCAATATCTTAAACTAGCAAAAAAAGAAACAGTATAAACATTTTTATTCAAGACTTTTCAAACAAACTTAGATTTATCTGCTGCTACGCAAAAACATACGCATTTATATAAGTGACGAAATATTCATAAAATTTATGTGGCTGATAAAAATCTTCTATAAATTCAATCAACGCTAAATAAAAAAAAAACATTTACAGTCTCCCATTAGTATTTGATTATAGTAAAAATATACTTATAAGTACTTTTACTTTTAAGCACAAGTGTAAGAATTACAACTCCAATACTAATTATAAATATGTTTCTATTATCATATCTAGGCTTTGTGGAAACAACATAAGAAATAGGAATTCCAGTCACTTATAGTTATGTTCCTAAAAAAAATCAGCACTTATTTTTTTATTTCAAATTTGGCTAACTATGTAACTCGAATTGTTTTAGGCAATGAATTTTTGAATGCAACATTAAAAAACGACACCAGTTATCATTCAGCCTCAAGTTGCAACAAGGCGTTAGCAAGCTATCCGTTCTCTGTGTCTATTCAGAAGAAAGGATCGCATTATACTTCAGGTGCTTTGATTGGCAAGAAATGGATTGTGACCGTTGCTAGTGAATTTTACAAGTAAGATATCTTAATGTTAATCTTTATATTCTGGTTTACATAAAAATGTATTTGTTTCAAATTAGACAATTATTAAAGTTATTTAAATAATATTTCAATGTTTTCACAGTATAAGAGAAACGATTAAGTTATTTAGAGCAAGGCTGGGAACAGTGAATTGCAAAAAAGGGGGTTTATTGGTGCCAATAAAACAAATTGAAATACATCCATCATATGTATATAAACAACCAAATTTTGATATATCAATGCTAAAAATTGGTCATCTTTTTGATTTTTCTGACCTTATAAAACCAATCGCTTTAACTGATGTTACGGAGAAGATTGTCAGTGCAAGTTTCTTGACAACTTATTGGCCTAGATTGATTGTAAGTTAATTAAAATTTTGTACCTTTATGCGGAAATTAAGCTATGATTATTTGTTATTGAGCTCAATAAAACAAATTCAGTTTTAATGATTTTTGTTCAGGTCAACGGTAGAGTGCTGGAGCAAACAGCAAAGGAAAGAATGAAACAAAACAGCATGAGAGTTTCAACACAGAAAATGATTGTTTGGGAAAAATGCTTTGATTTAATGAAAGCACAAAACCAGACCTTAGACGAATCGACTCTATGTTTAATACCAATAAAGTCCCATCATAGTCCTTGCATGGTAACATTTCTCTTATTTCTTCTTACAAACATTACAATTATTACAATGCGACCTTATCTTGAAATAAAATCATTAAAATTTACAGCCCGATGCTGGAGCGCCGATTACAGCTGAAGATGGTCTTTGGGGGATCACTTCTGGATGGACCCTAGATGAATGTCCCACAAAAAATAGTCCCACACTTGTAACAAGAATCTCTTCTTCAGCCATAAGAACCTGGTTAGATAAATTACTGGAGTCTGATAAAAAGTAAAACTTTAAGCTATTTATCATGTTAAGCATGTTTCTGTGCAATGGATTTTTTTTTCAATCGGGTATCATATTAAGTTTTATTTATTCATCATCAAAATTATTCCAGGTTGCGTAGATAAAATAATTAATAGTCACGGGATTTCTTCATTTAAATCTTTTATCACAATTTTAAATGTTAAGTAAATAGAAGCGAAGTAATATGCAAATAATAGGCTTACACAGTGTCAGTATAAACGATTAAATTACTTTAATGTCAATATTAATATCGTCATACTTTATTTCGACGTTATTTTTATCATTGAATATTTTTACCCCCGCTACTTATATGTAAATATGATATAATCTTAGTATTATAATATGTATTCTTAATATTTTACCCTTACTCATTTGATTTTTTAAAAATATTATTGATTAGCTATTTGTTATTTTTTTTAATTTAGTCTTAAGTTTAATATGGTTAACTTTAAGTAACAAAATAAATGAAAATAATAATGTTTATATATTATATTTTATACAAAAAATTACTTTTGTTTATTTTATGAACTCAAATAAATCATTTCCAAATATTTCTATTATGTTCCAAGAATATACACTCGTTGGTTACCTTAAACATTTAAGGACAGGTGAGAAAAACCAATTCGTCACAAAATTGCATCTACTCGTGTTGTATTTCAAATGACCCTATTATTACTTAGAAAATTCTTTGTCTCATGGAGCTTAAAGAACCAGAATATGATTTGAACTTAGAATTTTTCCACTTAGATTTTGTTAATATTAAATAAAGGCATTTATATACGTTTATTACGTAGAAAATCCTTCAGCAAAGATAAAGTTTATTATAAATGAAGCCTATACATCCCAACCGCCATTTGATAATTGACATCCGAACAAGTGATGTGTTACATATACTTGAATAATAATAAAAAATCTCTTATATTTTTAAATATTTTAAGTGGTTATCATAATTGTGCAACAAAATGACTTCATTAGAGAAGGATTTCAAGAGAGGACATACTTATAGACAGTGGATTTTTGCACTAATAGGTATGCAATTTTTTGTGATTTTATAAGATAGAAATTTAAATTTTTAGTTCCCTGTAACTTTTTTATGATTGAAATTCAGTCTTCAACTAGCAGTGAATTAAGTTCATCACCAAAAAATATATGTAAATTCAACTTGGTTTCCTCAATACTCTCTTTACCTGATTGTATTATTTGTGCTCCCAGCTAACTGCATAATTTTCACATATGGAATGGAATGTGGATGGATATCCCCAACAACTAAGATCCTGCAGTCAGATCAATCACCTGTGGATGAGGTTGTATCTGTCAATGTTATATCTTGGATAGCAAGTTCCATGAGTCTATCCGCTATTTTGGGAGTATCTTTTTACATATTTGTTTTAGACAATTACGGAAGAAAACTTGGCCTCATACTTATTGCTATTCCACAAGTAGTGAGTACATCAAATGTTTTTGTTATATAAAGATGAAATTTCGTACGCATGAGCACATACTTGTGTCATTGATTAGTTGTCATAAAGCGGATTAATTTTAGAAATTTTGTTTCTTTTAGATCTCTTGGACCATAAGATTGTGCTATTCAACAACCATTACTTTGATCATATCAAGAGTTTTAGCAGGATTGTCAGCTGGTGGATGTTTTATTGTAGTTCCGACGTACGTTAAAGAAATTAGTCAAGATGATATAAGAGGAATTCTAGGAACATTTGTAGCATTATTACAAATGTCAGGTGTACTCTTCATGTACATTATTGGGGCTTTTTTGAATTATTACACAGTTATAATGATAACATTGGCAATCGCAATTGTTGTCACATTTTTGGTACTTAAAGCTCCCGAATCACCAGCATTCCTCGTTAAACAAAAGAAATATGATGTAAGTTAGAATAAAATGTATAAAAGTTCTACAAAAAGCTTTATTAATTTATAACATTATGGCTGGTTTAAGACTAGTATTCATTTTTCATATTTTTATAGGAAGCTACACAAACTGTTGCATATCTTAGAGGGCTGGATAATGATGACAAAATTGTAAAGCATTTGGTAGATTCTATGACAAATGAAGATAACTTATGTAAATCAATGCCAAACGTTTCTTTTGCTAGCATATGTACGTATAATGTATATGCATATTCAAGGACACTTGTTACAGTAAAATATATATATTTCTCTGATATTTTTCAGTACGCAAAACATCATGGCGTCGAGGCTTATTTCTTATTATAACAATCTTTTCCTTCCACGCGATGAATGGAGCTTATGTCATAGCAACTTACGCATCACAAGTTCTCGTTTCTACAGGAGTTAAGTTTAAAATCAGTCCTGAAATACAAACTTTTAGTTTCCCAATCTTTATGGTCATTGGTACATTGGCACTCGCGTCTTGTGTGGAAAAATGTGGAAGAAAGGTATGTTAACTTTAAAAGTTATGACGTAATTTATTTCTTAGTACAATTTCATAAAACTTGCAATTTTTTTCAGTCTTTGCTGTTTGCATCGTTCTTAATAGCGGCCTTGTCTATGGGTGTTATATCATTACTTATAATATTACAAGGATTGGGTTGGAGCATACCTGCATGGCTGCCAGTTTTAGCCATCATTAGTACAGTAACTATCTATGGTGCGGGTATATCTGCTATACCGTATATTGTAATGACAGAGATGTTTAGTTTTCAGGTAAGCTATAGCAATCTTGCGGTAACAAAAATAGTTCAAAGCTAAAGGTTTATAGCTACGTTTATTATGGTTGTATAAATAAATAAAATATCATAAACTTTAAGTAATTAGAATTATAATATTTATGACCCAATGCTTTTAATGTAGACTTATTCTTACGATGTTGGTTCTTAGTAAATAACCGAAGCCTACATACGTATGGTGTTAAAAATAATAAAAAAATATTAAAAAAATCAATAAAGTAATTTATGATTATTTTCAATAATAAATAGTAATACTTTTTTTCAGATAAGAGCCAAAGTTATGGGCATAGTTATTACTTTAGTGTGGGCATTGACGGCATTTGTGGTCACCACATACACACCGTTAACTAATTACATAGGACCATACGCGCCATTCTTATTTTACACTTTAATTAACTTTTTGGGAGCCGTTTTTACCTTTGTATACATCCCTGAAACAAGAGCAAAAAGCGAGGAAGAAATTGAAGCAATTTTAGAAAATAGACAAAATGTTTTGAAGAGCCAAACTTGAACAACAAAACAATTAATAAGTATTCTATTTTAAGATAAATTAAAATGAAATTTATAGTCCATGTTCCTGATAAGATAATATATTAAACATGGGCTCGTGAAGAATAATATCAAAAGTCTACTTTCATTTTTAATATGTATCGTTCGATATTAAATGAAAAGTATTATTGTACATATATATTATACACTCCTAGCTAATAGTACTACATACTAAAAGTGAATTCTAAATGTAATGAAAATAATAGGGGGATCAGTAAATTCTAACATACTAGTTATTATTTTAGTATCTCTTGTCCTTATATCTTTAAATAAAGGATTTGTTCTTCTTTATTACTACTTCCTAGGATTACAAATGAGTTGTTTTGTTCATTGTGATCTCTACTCTATAGTGATATAAGGTTTGTAATTATATTTTATTAGTTTAATAATAATAATGTGCTGTCTTTTATATAATTTGTTTATATAAATAAATTTGAAAATCCTTAATTATCTTTTACTTCCCTGGAATATTTGAATATTCAGCTTCAAATGCAATATTTAAATAAATTGAAGTCCAAATCGTGCACACTGCTTACATGAGCTTTATAATATTTCTGTGGTTGGAGTTTGAGGTTCGAAATCATATAATTTTTATAAGTTTTACTATGTAATAGTTTTGCCGTGTGGTTATTTATCCTATTTTAATTCTGTCTCTCGTTAATTATATCGGTTGATATACAAAATAGAAAGTTATAATAGTACCTATAATTGTTATGATTTTACTAAATCTGTTTCCATTGATTTACAAAAGTTTATTCTTGCAGTTTAGGCAAGCCACCTAAAGATAAAGCAAGAAAATTTTTGTGATATCTTTGTTACAAGAATAGATACACCAATGAAAATGTATTTTATCATTCACAAATTGTATAGAGTGGTTGTGTATATGTGAATTCATATATAATTAGTAAAAAAGAAGTACAATACAGAGTTATTCATATATTTTTCTTAACTAATATTTCATTGGCACTGGAATATTTATCAACGTTTTTATTTGTTGGACGAACTATAATATTGAGCACTATGTGAAGAAAACACAAAGTAGTTAGTCGAATGGAGTACAATATATAACTTTAAAATTATTATGATCTCACTTTGTCTTTGACATATATTTGAATTGATAAATTGTTATCATGAAGGTAATATAAATATTATAACAAGACAAAAATAAATCTATTTGTGTAATAGATAAATGCACGGTGTTGCTTCAGTAATTACTATTATAATATTCATCTTTCTAAGGACCACCATCATCTTTACACTTAAACATATAAAAATAAACGACTACATTATAAATCAAAGTGTAGAAAATCAAAGATTCTTCCAGACGGCCACTGGGTTTATTATAACAAAAAGTCTGTTAAATAATTATAAAGAAATAAATTATAAAATAAAACTAAATTAAATTTATTTTTTATGTATTTAACATGTAATTTTGAAATCAAAACAGTAAAGGGTCGAAATTCATTTAAAGGAATTTTTAGTGTTTCTTTAAGACAAACTTTATTAACATTACTTACAAGTCACAATTGATTGGCCGCATGCTTTCCAGAGCCTCGCATTCCGTCTCTTTTTATGCCACCCCCCCCCCCATTCCCAGTTTCATCTTTTTCACCTCAATGGAGTAAAAAATACTGTTAATTGTTCTTCAATAGTGTAAACTTTATTTATTTTAAAAGTCAACTCCTCTCTTCTAACTTAATTGTAAATGCCTAAGAATTATTCAAGAAAATAATAATACACGGAAAAATAATACACGAAATTATTGATGTAAATAATAATAGAATTTTTGACGACGAAATATTAAGGTAAGACAGGGGTGCAATATGGGTTAGGTTTTAAAAGAATGTATCTAGAATTGATTTATAATATAATAAGAGAAGCTATTACGCTGTGGCTAGGACAAAGTCTACTATTTGGTGAAGAAGTGGTATAAAAGAATATAACGGAGTAGGGTTTATAGCCGTAGCTTTAAGACTTTTGGGTGATAATGGATAAATTAAATCTATTCCAAAACTTAAGAGTCACACAATTCAAGACATATCAAAAGCAGTACACCATTCCCTGTGTGTTCAGTCTTCATTTAAAATGAATATGCATCTTATTATTGTTAAGTTAAAGTCCACTTTAACTTAACAATAATAATACTTAATTTTCATCCTCTGAATAATAGCATACAGAAAAGATATATTCCAAATGGGAATTTATTGTAATCAAGCAATCAGTGGTTTATGTGCAATAAAAGTATTTTTATTTATTTAGTTATTTTTAACAATAATTAATTTTACCCTACTAGTGTTTATTGTCAGATTTTGCTTTATTGGTCTTATAGACGTATTGTGTTATATTCGGAGAACTATTTCACCATCGTTTTATTTATTTAGAATACCATAAAAAGTAATACTTTAAGCGCGTTGTTTGCTTTGTCTTAATCTTATACTGTTTTCAGTCTTGCGTGAAGGTAAAGGCATTTTTTAGAGAATCGTAGTCAAGATTTTTTAAATTAGGATAATTTTTTTGTCTTATTTTATTCTTTCTTTTCATTTAATTATTAAATATACATTTTATTCAACGTAGGATTGTGGAGATTTTGTATTTACTAATAGAAATACAGACCGAAAATCTGTGTCCGATGAGTATGGGAACCGGATGCCCTCTCCCTTTTCCAGCCCTTTCCTTTACCCTCCCTTTCCCACCATTTCTACCCCTCTTTTCCGATCTAGAGTGGCAACATATCCTAAAATCTATATTGTGGATATCTATGGGCGACGGTATTATTTCCATCACGTAGACCGTCTGCTCGGTTGCCTCCTTTAGCATAAAAAAATAAAGGTATTAACTTATTGCGTTGCGTTAACAAAGATCTGTCAAACTTAAACGCTGGTTTTGAACTATCGTCTCACTCACTCAAAAGTATATTTTTTCTATCTTTCTTCACTCTTCTACTCCATTATAACTCACACAGTATTTTCAATTACTTGCAATTCAAATAAAATATTTTACATTTTATACTTACATCTCCAACTTCACAATGACCAGATTTTGATAAAAGTGTACCAAATACCAGTGTTTACCAGTGTGAACCAGTGTAAATCCATTTGATAAGAATAAAATAACTTAAATAAGGAGTGCATGACGGAACACCAGAATTAAGACAACAGAGTTTTCTGAATGAGTTAAATTGGATTGTTTTCTATGAAAGTTCTTTGTTAAAATATTTTTAACGTATGTCACAAAGTTAAGCTGCAACTACTTATTCTAGATAATTGCGATCTGGAAATAAAGAGGCGAAATTAAAATTATAATAAGAAGATTTTTTTAGGGGACTACTCCTTTTGAAACAAGATATTTTTTTTATATACAATATTTTATACTACTTCTAAAACTTTGAACCATTATTTGTTTAGACTTGTGACTTTTAATATTTTTTATCTATACAAATATGTGTAAGTAATCTTTAAACACATGACTAGATTGGCTGAGTAGTAAAAGAGAGAAAACGCAGTTGTCTTTTACGAATTTACTCAATTACGTTAGCAGGAAATGTAAATATTTATATACATATGTATACGTATATATCTTTGTAATCGACTTAAAAAGAGGGAAAGGTTTTTTAATTCAGCCTTTTTTGTGTATATTCAATGATATCCCGTCGTTTATGAATCTATTTGGAACCAGGTATCCTGTGAAAATTAGAAACATCTATTGATTTCCTAATAGAAAATAACAGAAGTCGAGAAAAATTTTGACATTTTATGCTCATTTTGAAATTTCTCTAAAGGCTTACTAAAGGCATAGTGCTCGATTAGAGTATTCAGAATAAATTATATGATTTTCTTGTATGTTCATTTGTAGTTTTCTTTTAATAAAGCCAGTAGTTTTGACATTTTCTATTCTTAGGTAGCCGACATCTTGTCATTAAGTGAAATGCTTTGTTGCTGTGTATAAGATTTAAATCGTAAATTACTTTTTTCAACAAAATAGCACCGACTTTGAATAGGAAACCTAAAATTGAAAATACAAATAAAGAAAAGTTTTAGATTTTTCAATTTTGTTAATGCTACATAATTTAAAAAAAAGTTTTATGATTTTGTAATTGGTTTCATGTAAATACTTATTTGTAAAACCACTTTATTATTGTATCATATTTTTGTACTCGGAGATTTACAGTCCGTGAGTTTAAAGCTGAGCTTTTCATTTGTGTGAGTGAAAGTAAAAATAGAAATAGACAAAAAACTTTCAGAATTCAATTTTATTATATATTAAATAGATACATAACAAAAGTGCTAGAACTATTATAGATTAAAATAAAATAAGCAAAACTTTTAAAAAATATATGGAAAGAAATATAATAATTAATAAGAATTTTGAATAACTTTACAATTTTTTTTCCATTTGACATTGCGTATTCGCCATTTGATGCTGCTACCAGTACAAAAGGGTGAAATGAGGAAGGTGTGGGGTTGAGTAAGAGCAGTATAAACCGGTCCAAACCTTGAAAAGCACGTGGCACTCACAAATTTGACATCGCACCTATACAATCCGTGTGTACTAACAGAAATGATAGCTCAGCTTATGACTCGAACACTACACCAGTTTCAATTAAATCTAAATATTTTAAGTACTCAGTAAAGGCTTATTATTTATCGGAAAATTTCAAGAGGACTTTGTATATAAAAACAGATAAATATGTCACTTTATTCTAGTTATATATGTACATTATTCAAGTATTAACGAACGAGCGTTAGATGAAAGACCCTTAAACCCACACCTGGGTCGCGGGTCAAAGGCCTTTTTGAGGCTCCACTCCCTACTACGCGATGCACCCGGCACCCGCACGGTGAATATATGCAATGCTGAGAAGTTTTGTCTCTTTGTATGTATTTTATAACAACGTTTATTATATTTCAGGTCTATGTTCTTCTAACTTAGGTTAGCTGGAACAGTAGCCAAGTTACCATTCGG